TGGATTTTATGTGTACAATATGCAAATTCGCTTCGGAATCCAATGACTCTCAGAAAAATGAGCTCCATTAAAATCAATAGGTGTTAAAACAGCGCATACCCACCATCTTCTGAACTCTATAATACACGTGTTCTTACGGAACTTAGGACTCATCAGAATAAGGGCATAATAGGTTTTATGAGCAACCGTCGAGACACCCGGTCGAAGACGGATTTAAAGGTTCGTTTCCGCGCGCGCCTGCCGTAAATGAGAGCTTAAGACGGCACGGCCCCCATTTAGATCAAGAACCTCGCAAGTCCTACAAAGGTGCCGAGGAAATACGCTATTTTACTGGAGCACCAAGTGGATATCTATACACGGGGGTAAAGATAATTGTTATTGGGTTCGAAACCCTCGAGCACCGAAAGTTAATCCGAACTTGCAGTTATCATAGCGCTCGGAACCTGCGGGTCGATTTTGAATATCGCTCTCGAATCGCTTCGATCGATATATTCCTATCTCAGCAATGATATATATCGATCGCGACGATTCAGAAGCCAGATCTTGGAGATAGAGGACACTACGGTGCTTAGAGGCTCGCCTTTACATCAACTCGCTAATAACATTTAAATTTTACTGGAATTCGCGATTGTTTTACTCGGCGGTGAAGCTTACGCTGTTGTCGGCTTGTGACGAAAAAAAAATGGAAGACAGAGAGGAGCGGGCCTTTGAGTTTTTGTTGCTGGACATGAATACAGAAATCATTTTTGAAAATGCCATTCTTTTTTTTCTTTTTTTTTTATTCCTGGTCTCCTAGTTGTTGTACAAATTTTATTGGACGATGGCCACTTCGAGAGATGTTTTTCCCATCTTTAGGCCCTTAGTTTTTTTTTAATCACTCCTTGTTAAGTTTATATGTGTTTGAACTTCATTTTTCGTTTTTTTAACCACGATGAGCTTTGTCAAAAGAATAAAATACGATTAAAACAAAAATGATCACGCACTAAATGAAATCCTAAAATCCCAAATTTGTTGGTCGAATCGGTGTCGATTGATTCACGTCGATCGATTCACGTCGATCGATTCACGTTTTCGTTTTTCGATCGATTCACGTTTTCATTTTTGAATCCATACCCTCCTCTGTTGAACACATGATTCATAGACACATGAATAGACTTTTGAAAATTAAATTCGAACGAAAATCACATAGAGCATATCAAAATGGTTTTGAAACGCATAATTTGGGATTTGTATGGCTCTTTCTCATATTCAACGCGTCTCCGGGCGGTTTTTCTGAGCCGTCGACAATCAGCTCTGCTTGAAGAGAGACTTTCTTTATTTCCAAAAGATTTTTCACGACTTTCAACTTTTTATAGGAGATAGGAGAAAATTTACGAACAGTTGAACCAAAGGTACGTCCAGCTCATTTTCTCTCCGAATACCGACTTGGTGCGTATCTGCTAAATTCCGTCTAAATACCCAATTCGCGGCTAAAATACGAAACCACGTATCTCCATTGCAGTGTTTCAAGATTTCTGCTCCTATTTTATTTTCTCGAAGAAAGACGAGTCAACTACTTAGTTTGGAATTTTTACAAAATACTCTGCTAGTACAGAAGAAAAACCAAGGAAGTCTTCAAGAATTTAATTTGACTATTTTATCATTAAGAAATAAAATATGACGGGAACTCTGCAACGTCGCAAACGAAGATACATGGTTTCGCACGTAAGTCATCGATATCCTCCATTACACTGAAAAAAAAATCTTTGTATTTTTACTAAGAAAAGGGTAAAATTGCCAAGAATTCAGGGTTCTATTTGATCCCAGTTTTTTCTTGGTAAAATTACCATTTATGGAATTGGTAATTTTACCGAGAAATCTCGGTAAAACTATTGAACTTTCTCGGTAATTTTACTGGACCTTGGTAAAAACGCTAATATTTTTTATCGACTGTGGTAGAATTACCGTGATAAAATGGCAAAGTTACCGGGAATTGATTACCAATAAAAGTGGTATTCTTACCTGAAAAAGAAACAGTAAAAACATCGGTTTGTAGGTAAGCTTACCAGTCTGTCTTGATAAAATTACCAATAATTGGTAAAAAAGTGAGATGGTAAAGGTACCAACGGACCTTGGTAAAAACGCCGAGAATTTTCTTTCTGTGAAAGTTGCGATTTCCGAACTTTCCGCCGTGTGAATCATTCTAAGTGAAATTTTGAAGAGAAAATATATAACGGCGCGCTTCAGTTCGCACATTGTCTCATGCCCCATTCTTACTTTTAAAAGTCTTAGAAACGCCGCCTCTATGACTATAATTAATCTCAATCAAACCCCAATCTGCCGGTTGCGGGGTACCGTTTCCACCCGTTGTTCCCTAGACCACGCAGTGAACTAATCGCACCAAGTATTGTGTTTTTTCGAGCTCAACATCAGGGGTCGGCACATAATGAGGACTTGAATCTAAAGAAACGGATTTGTATCACTTTTTTTAAAGTGCCGAGGCATTAAGGCTTTTAATTTATGTTTTTCTAAATTGGAGTTTCATTTGGGACATCGCGCGCGGTGTAACGAGGGGCCAGCCGGATTTTGCTTTCTTCTTAATTCTATTTATTTTTGTTTCAGGGCTGTAAATAACTTTTATTATTCGCGCGCCCTTGTGTCCCCGGCTTTTGTTCATTTCGCGCGATCAGCATTTTAAATTACTCGAGGTGAGGGCTTTAAGAGCAACAGCCACTTTCACCGACCTTTGGAAGCATTTGGGCCAATTTGACTAGAATTGCGGTTCAGATTGCTCTCTACAGGATCTGATTTGTGTTTCATGCGTTATGTGTGATGCCACCTTTTGGGAAAGGAATTGGCGGATCTAGCAAATTGGCAGCATCGGCTTTTTCCATTTAAACCCATGGAAATGTATCGATTCTTGGAGGGGCCAGATGCTCCGACAAGAATCGATTATTTAGCATAAGTTTAAATGGAGGAAATCCGATGCTGCCAAATTGCTGGATCCGCTTCTGGAAAGGAGATTTTCCGAAAACTTAAAAATTTAACTTAATGGTCAATTTCAGAGCCTTTTTTGAGACTTTTGGAAGGATTGCTTCTCTAATCCTGCCATCAAATTCCACCTTTCTTCTCCCGCGTTCTTTCGTGCCTCGCTTTTGGGCGGGTTTTATGACTACGAAGAATAGGGGTAAGAGCGAACTCTTCTTGACACCATTATGGGTACGCCCCCCCCCCCAAAAAAAAGGAAAATCCTGCCCTTAAAATATGGATGTGAAATGCCGCCATGGATGATCTTCAAAACTTTTCTATCAATAATAACGCGTATTTTAACGTTGGAACATTTGATCTACGTATGGAATTGATAAATATCCACCGGCATCGAAGGAACAATGTACTGAGAAAAAAAAAATGAACCATTAATCTTCCTCGCGATGAAAACGTTTCTTTAACGTTACAATCGAAATTTTCCTTTTTAACTTTTTAGAACTAAGAGTTTTACTGCGAATACGGTTGCATTAAATTCCACATCTAAAACACGTGAGCAGTTGGAAAACGACATGGAAGTGAGTCAATTAATGCTCTTCTTGTGATTATCTGTGAAAATTTATGGATTGGCACCCCGTTGTAAAAAGTAACTTCTGTCCTCACTGGAAAAAAACACATTGGATCTAGAGTCCAGGCTCTTGAAAACATTGACAAGAAAAGAGACTCTTGATTCAATCAGATTTAAGCTTAAATCAAAAGAAAATCCGCTCAAATTAAGAGGCTTGGTTATTGATTTAAGCAAAAATCCGATTGAATCAAGAGTATTTTTTCTTGTCGATGTTTTTAAGAGTCTGGACTCTAGATCCAATGTGTTTTTTTCCAGTGCTTTTTTCGAATCGTACAATTGTATCCTCAAAGGGTTGAGCGTAACAAATTCATCTTGATGAACATTGCGTTTCCATATTTTAAATTCTTGAAAAACCGAGGCGTGCGTCCAATAATCTTGGGAAAAAAAGAGGAGAAGTCAATAAATTTTGAAATCCAAGAGCACATGTAACCCGTTTCTCCGAAGAGAAGGATCGCTTCGAATCACAAATCCTCGAAACTTCCCGGAAAGACCATTGCACGGTCGTTGGTTCGGATAAAAAGCACAAGTTTGAGATCAAGATTGGAATGAGATCTGGTTGGGGGCGTTGCGGGGGGGGAGGGGCTGTCCGGGGGCGGGCTGCGATTGGAAATGAACGCGGAGACAAGGGAACGGGAGAAAGAAGAAGGAATCAATTTCGAAATTAATCGAGTCGGGCTCTGGAGCGCCCGAACGTAACGCAAGGCGACGCGATCGGATGTGGTAACGCAGGAGAGTTAGCGCCGGCTGATTATTCAAATTAAAAGAAGACTTAGGGAGTATAGAGTGATCCTATTGGTTCAAGTGGCTGGTGCGTGTAGACTAAGGGAGAAAAATGATTAACTAAAAAGAAAAATGATGGACTAACTAAAAGGGCCTTCGTGGGTTGCCGTTAGTTAGTCTATTAACTGCCTCCTTTGTCCATTGCAACCACCAGCTTCCACCAATAGCAGCCCTCCTTACCCATTTTGTATACTTTCTCTACGACTCTGTCTATTAGTTTCAATAATCAGCCCCCAGCGACGGGACCCCATCGAGATTTTGCCCCTATCGGAAAATGGGGTGTGTCTTCAAGGGCCAAAATCGGCCCCAAACTGAGGCCGAAATTGGACGCTTCTTGGGATTTGGTAACTGCAGAGTTGTTTTTTAGATAGCCCGTTTTTCGTCGCTCCTAAGAAGAGGCAGCTATCTATACCAGAATGCCTATATTTGTACCTTTTCCATCGGTCTATTCAGGTCCATTTACCCAAGCATCTCAAATTTCACGAAAGCGGGAGTAAGACATTTTTGCCCTAAATTTTCTTGAATTTTTAGTGTGATCAGAAGGAAAACGAGGGAGGGTGTCAGTTAGAAACGCAGAGCAGTTGTCTGGTAAAAATAAATTATGCGAGTGGAAATTTCGCAATGTGGAGATATAGTTGCGTTCTTTTTCATAGAAAACAACGATTTGTGATACAATACAGCATCCTTATACCAAAACAGAGAATTAAGCTGTTGATTACAGATACATTGGTCGCTGCCTTTAGTAAGTTCGGTGCAGCAGCGCTGGTCGGCACTCCGACAATGGTCTCTGTCCCAGTGGTCACTATTTTTGTTCCAGATTTGAGGATATCCCTGGCGCTATTTCTGATTTGAGCTCTAAGTGTGCCATCCGGGAGCAAGGCATTGTCCACAGGGCTACTGGTTTCCTTACCATTAAATAACGATAAGAAGCCAGACAGGGGGTTTGCCTGGGCAATAGAGCACATTGCTACGATTGTCAAAGCCATCAGACTGAAAGATTTGAGAGGCAGCATCTTGAGGATTGTTGTTGCTACCTGGAACAAAAAGATCATGTAAGTGGGAAATGGCATCATATGTAACGTAACGTCGTTACCGAACGGCCGGACTGGTATGGTGATGTTAAAAAGGTGAAGAAAGAAATGCTGCCAAAAATGAACCGAGTTAAGCAGAAAGGAACCAAGCCACAATTTAATTGTGCAATTTGATTTTTCTTATGAGAACGGTTGTGCGGATATTTGTGCGAATTACAATTGGACTGCATTCTGCAATTTGGAACTATGAATTCTGGCTCTTCTGGAAAAACACTTATGTGCATCGGGAAACTAATGGCACGTACGTCGTTTTTAAACCGGGCTAGAATTTATAGTTCCAAATTGCAAAATGAAGTCCAATTAATTTTCTGCCTATTACGAGGGAATTTCCTCAACATTTTCAAAGGAATCCGCTCAAACGTTCTCTTGTGAAACATTAAATTGCCCGGTTAAATTTGGCAATAGCTGATGTGGCTTGGTTCCTTTCTGCTAAACGCGGTCCAAATGATTCTTGGTCGGGTTCCTACCAGAGGGAGACACAGGATACGTTCAGTGAAAGGTTGGCGATACAGAAGGTTTTACAAAAAAATGAAGAAGCGTCAACTCTCCGAAAGGCTCCCTGGTAAAAATTGGCGATAAGAGCTGCGTTTCAAAATAACATAGGAATTCTTATAGCCGGCTAAAGAAGGCTACAGAAAATCATATAGCTGGCTGGAGAATGCGGAGAAAATCATACGGCCGGGCTATACGAAGCGATAAATAAGTATGCAGCCGGGCGGCTATGGTTCCTATCGCCGGGCTTTACACTTCATCGCCTGGCTGTTGCTTTTTCGCCATCGATTATAAAAGGCTATAAGAGATTGTGTAGAAATTCGTGTGCTTTGGAGATCATTAAGTTTGATACGGAACCACCTTAATATTTACAAAACACACATTATATTTTCCTTTAATACATATTTTTTTTCATCAATTAAAATGAGAATAATCCATACAGGATGTGCAAAAACGTCAAAATCATGAGTTGAATAACGCTGACTCCGCCAGATTAAATATTAGAGCCTAACACAAAGCGGAGCGGCGACGCACTGGCGCCTACAAACCTAACAGGGATACTTCACGCATTGCGCAACGCGTGAAGTATCTCTGTTAGGTTTGTAGGCGCCAATGCGCGTTTCGCGCTGGCTGCCCGCCTGCCGCGCCGCAGCGTGCCACGGCGCTTGAAGCAACTAGTTCACATCAGAGGTATTGCACAGTATTATACGAAATTGAAGGCGCTACAACATATTAGAAATGGCAGGCATCCTTCAAATGCATGGAGCTTTCCTCGCAAAATAAATCAAGATACCAGGCCCAAAAAAAGAGCGGTAGTTCAAAAACTCACTAAGTCCTAGCATCCGTTATTAGTAACGTTTAGCATATACTTTATCGCCAGGCTGTTGCTTAGTCGCCATCTGCTATAAACGGCTATAAGAAATTGTGTAGCCAGCTATAGAAGCTATTGGAAATCTTACAGCCGGCTGTAAGTCTATGGTATTTTGGAACACAGATTCTACTGCCAATTTCTACCAGGGCTGTAGGAGGGCAATGACCGTGGCTGTTGGGGGCCACAGAGCGCCAGTGTGTGCTGTGGAAACGGTTTTCGTGTTTTACTAAGAAAGTTTAGTAATTCGTGCCACACTCTTGATAGTGTTAATTTACGTTTAGTGGATTTGAACAGTCGTATCCATTGTCGGGATTTAATACTGGCTACGAGATATTTTCAAAAGAGCATATGGTGGACTAAGTTTATCAGAGAGAAACCAACCCACATTTTCGGAAAACTTGAGTTAAGAATATTTTCGATCGAAGTTCCATTCGATTCGAGTTCCAATAGTCGTCATTGGCGTGGCAGGAATTGCGATGTATCGATTGTTATGCCATTTAAACATATGGTAAAGAATCGATTATTAAGGTGCTCGCTGCGAACACCCTGTTTATCGATCCATCTCCATAGGTTTAAATGGCATAGCAATCGATACATCGCAATTCATGCCACGCCACTGCTAGTCGTATGCCTCCTGCCAAAAACTCAAAGTCTAAAAAAAATAGTTTGTGAGAAAGGGGGTTTAAGTTAATTCTCTACATTGAGTCTTACGAAAGAATGAAACTTCAAACCTCTTTTTCTGAGTTTCAACTTAATATGGGTTTGTTCTTTTAAACTCGTTACAAATATCATACAGCAAATCATTGTAGTACCCACTTTAAGGTTTTTTTAATCCTTCAATTTTCAGCGATTCCACGAATAAATTTTTGCTTTAATTAACTGATTGGAAGCCTAAAATAAAAAAAAAATGCAGTTTCAGCGCTGTGCCGATGGCAAGTTCTTGAATTGAGAATATCTTCATTAGTCACGGAGGAATAAAATTAAAATTGGCAAAATTTCTATAAAAAAAAACTCTCGAATACCTAAGTCTAAAGAGAGCGTAGTTGAATATTAAACATGTTGAGGAGGCAATGCATTTTTACTAACCTGTGAACACGACGAACTGTGAACTACAATGAAATTTCACAGGTGACAGGCATTTTTTTCATGCCTTTAAAAAACGAGTAGTGACCTCATGTTTAGCGTTCTGCAATGTCAGCTTATCAATTTCCTTTCGAGACAGCATGCAGTGTTAAAAATGAGCCTACTGAGACATTTTGAATACATTTGATACATTGATACATTTTAGTGTGATCAGAGGGAAAATTAGGGAAGGTGTCAGTTAGAAATGCAGAGCAGTTTTTTAGTAAAAATAACGTATGCAAGTGGAAATCTCGCGATGTAGAGATATAGTTGCGTTCTTTTTCATAAACAACAACGATTTGTGATACAATACAACATCCTTATACCAAAACAGAGAATCAAGCTGTTGATCACAGATACATTGGTTGCTCCAGATTTGAGGATACCCCCGGCGCTAACAGAGGTCGCTTCCTTTACTAAGTTCGCTGCAGCAGCGCTGGTCGGTCCTCTTTTCACTCCGACAATGGTCTCTGCCCCAGTGGTCACTATTTTTGCTCCAGATTTGAGGATATCCCTGGCGCTAACAGAGGTCGCTTCCTTTACTAAGTTCGCTGCAGCAACGCTGGTCGGGCCTCTTTCCACTCCGACAATGGTCTCTGCCCCAGTGGTCACTATTTTTGCTCCAGATTTGAGGATATCCCTGGCGCTAACATTGGTCGCTTCCTTTACTAAGTTCGCTGCAGCAACGCTGGTCGGGCCTCTTTCCACTCCGACAATGGTCTCTGCCCCAGTGGTCACTATTTTTGCTCCAGATTTGAGGATATCCCTGGCGCTAACATTGGTCGCTTCCTTTACTAAGTTCGCTGCAGCAACGCTGGTCGGGCCTCTTTCCACTCCGACAATGGTCTCTGCCCCAGTGGTCACTATTTTTGCTCCAGATTTGAGGATATCCCTGGCGCTAACATTGGTCGCTTCCTTTACTAAGTTCGCTGCAGCAACGCTGGTCGGGCCTCTTTCCACTCCGACAATGGTCTCTGCCCCAGTGGTCACTATTTTTGCTCCAGATTTGAGGATATCCCTGGCGCTAACATTGGTCGCTTCCTTTACTAAGTTCGCTGCAGCAACGCTGGTCGGGCCTCTTTCCACTCCGACAATGGTCTCTGCCCCAGTGGTCACTATTTTTGCTCCAGATTTGAGGATATCCCTGGCGCTAACATTGGTCGCTTCCTTTACTAAGTTCGCTGCAGCAACGCTGGTCGGGCCTCTTTCCACTCCGACAATGGTCTCTGCCCCAGTGGTCACTATTTTTGCTCCAGATTTGAGGATATCCCTGGCGCTAACATTGGTCGCTTCCTTTACTAAGTTCGCTGCAGCAACGCTGGTCGGGCCTCTTTCCACTCCGACAATGGTCTCTGCCCCAGTGGTCACTATTTTTGCTCCAGATTTGAGGATATCCCCGGCGCTAACAGAGGTCGCTTCCTTTACTAAGTTCGCTGCAGCATCGCTGGTCGGTCCTCTTTCCACTCCGACAATGGTCTCTGCCCCAGTGGTCACTATTTTTCCTCCAGATTTGAGGATATCCCCGGCGCTAACAGAGGTCGCTTCCTTTACTAAGTTCGCTGCAGCATCGCTGGTCGGTCCTCTCTCTGCTCCGACAATGGTCTCTGCCCCAGTGGTCACTATTTTTGCTCCTGATTTGAGGATAGATCTGGCGCTATCTCTAGCTGCACCTTTGACTGGGCCATCCGGGTGCAAGAAATTGTTCACCGGGCTATTGGTTTCCCTACCCTTAATTAACGATAAGAGGCCAGGCAAGGGGTTTGCCTGGGAAATGGAGCACATTGCTACGATTGTCAAAGCCATCAGACTGAAAGATTTGAGAGACAGCATCTTGAGGATTGTTGTAGCTACCTGGACAAAGAAGATCATGTACGTGGGAAATGGCATCATATGTAACGTAACGTCGTCACCGAACGGCCGGTCCGGTATGGTGATATTAACAAGGTGACGAAAAAAATTCTGCCACAAATGAACCGAGGTAAGCAGAAAGGAACCAAGCCACATCAGGTATTGCCAAATTTAATTTTTTTCATGAAATCGGCTGTGCGGATATTTGTGCGAATTTCAATTAATTTTCTGTCTAGTACGAGGGAATTTCCTCAACATTTTCAAAGGAATCCGCTGAAACGTTCTCTTGCAAAAATTAAATTTCCCGGTTAAATTTGGCAATAGCTGATGTGACTTGGTGCCTCTCTGCTATACGCGGTCCAAATGGTTCTTGGTCGGGTTCCTACCAGAGGGAGACACAGGATACGCCCAGTGAAAGGTTGGCGATACAGAAGGTTTCACGGAAAATGAAGGAGCTTCAACTCTCTGAAAGGCTGTAAAAGAGCAAGGACCGTGGTTGTTGGGGGTCACAGAGCGTCAGTGTGCGCTGTGAAAGCGGCTTTCGTGTTTTACCAAGAAAGTATAGTAATTCGCACCACACTCTTGATAGTGTTAATTTGCGTTTAGTGGATCGATCAGTCGCGTGCATTGTCGGGATTAAATACTGGCTACACGGTATTTTCAAAAAGGCATATGTGGACCGAGTTTATCAGAGAGAAACCAACCCACATTTTTTGAAAACTTGAGTTAAGAATATTTTCGAGTTCCGCTAGTCGTATGCCTCCTGCCAAAAACTCAAATTCGAAAAAAAAAAATCAGTTTGTGAAAAAAGGGGTTTAAGTTAATTCTCTACATTGAGTCTTAAGGAAGAATGAAACTTCAAACTTCTTTTCCTCAGTTTCAACTTAATGTGGGTTGGTTTTTTTCTTGTAAGCTCCTTACAAATATCATACAGCAAAGCATTGTAGTACCCACTTTAAGGTTTCTTTAATCCTTCAATTTTCAGCGATTCCACGAATCAAATTTTGCTTTAATTAACTGATTGGAAGCCTAAAATAAATAAAAAAAATGCCGTTTCACTGCTGTGCCGATGGCAAGTTCTTGAATTGAGAATATCTTCATTAGTCACGGAGGAATAAAATTAAAATTGGCAAAATTTCTATAGAAAAAACTATCGAACACCTAAGTCTAAAGAGAGCGTAGTTGAAAATTAAACATGTTGAGGAGGCAATGCATTTTTACTAACCTGTAAACACGACGAACTGTGAACTACAATGAAATTTCATAGGTGACAGTCTCGTACATACCTACTGCATGCCTTTAAAAAACGAGGAGTGACCTCATGTTTATCGTGTCTGCAATGTCAGCTTATCAATTTCCTTTCGAGGGCAGGATGCAGTATTAAAAATGAGCCTACTGAAACATTTTGAATATATGACAAAAATTGAAGAAACATAGGGTGAAAAATTTGATGTAAATAAGTCAGTGGTGCATGATAAAAGCAAAGATAACAAGAAAAAAAACCTATGCTCAGTTTAGCATGAAATTATCTTTTTTAATGCAACTTTAGAGATTAACACATTTTTTGAATTTGGTTCTAGACATGTCTTTCTGTTTCCGTTATCATTGTAGATGAAAAAAAAGAAACAAACTTTTTAACCAGACATCTCTTTCGTGCTTGACGTCAGAGGTGGAATGCCCGCCACCGCACCTTTCGTACTCAAGGCCAAAGAGGAAATTACGAATTTTATAGAATTTTAATGAATCTTTGCACGCTCAAATTTTATAAGTAACTTTAAACGAGGTACTATTGCACTGCAGGCAGAATGAGTTTTTATTAAACTCAAGAAAGATTTAAAAAGCTATACCGCTTATATGACCCTTAATTCCTTTTGGCCCCAATTTATTGAGCCCTTTACGAGTGATAATGGCGACACCTGTCAAAAAGCATTTTTTAAAAACTTTAAAGGAATAACCGTTAAACTTTTACTTGAAAAAAGAATATTTTTTCAGTACATTTTAGTTAAAATTAACGTCTGATAAAATTCATAGGAGCACAATTCTTCAGCATCGTTTTTTATAGATTTTTAATAGTGTTCTTTCTTTTTTTTTACCACTTTAAGTATCTTACGAGGGAAAACCCTGCGCTTCCCCATCCCTCCTCCGTCCCTAATCAAGCCAGCCCCAGGTTACCGATGTTTGAGACCATCAATTTAGGGTCACCTGACCGGGAATCGAACCCGGAACCTCCCGATCATAGAGCAAGCGCCACAACCACTACACCACAGGAGGCAGACCGAAAGTAAAAATATTTATTTGGAGTATTTTGACATTTTCGTTTTTGAGCTTTACCTCTCGTAAATGTTACTCGGAAAAATATCGTCACCTCTTAAGGGTATTTTGACATTTCTCCTAAGAATTGTATTTCTAAAATTTACAGCTTTATTTCAAAGTTCTGGTAACAGTTGCCCCTGCTCGAAAAATTGACAGCAAAGGCAAGCTACTGAAATTACGAGGCCGTATGAGAAGATATGTGGTTGCTCGAGCAATTTTCCTCTTGACCTAGAATGCACGATAGATACCATACTTGCCTCCAACGAAAGTTGAACATAATCTGAACCCCGCACAAACTTTGGTCAGGCTGCTCCAAACTCATCAGACTCACGTTTGTTGTGTGACCGTTAAAACCGCTGCACTAACGAAAGCCCCAAAACTCGTAAAAACCCCCGAATTCTCGAAGAATCATCAACGAAACGGCAACTAGGACGCGCCTCAGAAACTGCATCAGCGGCCAATGCGGCCATGGCCTGAAATAACGGCGGGAGCTTAAAGAGTTTTCCTTTGTGTCCGAAAAGTCGGATGTCGGCAATGCCTCTATTAAGCCAACTAGGAATTTATCCTCTTCGGACCCGCTTCCTTGTTTTTGAGCTACCACCTCACCCCCTTCCACCCTCCTCCCACCCCCTAAGGCCTCCGCTTCCCCGAACTCTTTGTGTGCTTGATTCATGGCTCTTCACGACCCTGGGTCATCATATATTAAGCATCTTCCCGGGCTCGCACCGTATAGTTCAGCTTGAGGTGTTTGCATAGAGGTTTTGATTCGCAGAGAGATCCTTCGAGTTAGGTTCGAGAGATTACTGCGCTGCCGCCCTCTGCTTCGTTCAATTTTCCTTCTCATTCTCGGTGAGGTTTTTGATTCGTGCAAAAGTATTTTCAGACAATTTGAAGGAGATATTCTGGTTTCTTCCACTACCATGCTATGGAAAA